TAGACCCATGAACAGACGATATAATAGGAGGACACATTAGGAATCAAGAACATTGGCACCCCTAATACTTCTATGAATAGAGTCATTTATGAAAGTTGCACATTTGCTCGTTTCATTTGTATCGTATGGATCATGCCAAAAGGAAAGAAGGGATAGATGTTGTTTATCTAACCACACGACGTCAGTTGAAAATTGCTATTTTTCCCTTACAAATTTAATATTGCATTCAAATATAATTTTTTTAAAATACTATTCTAACATGTTATTGGGATTACGTAGTCTCGCCATTGGTATAATTGTTGCTTTTAATAATTATAAAAATATTTTTACCAACTATAACTTTGTATTTTAGATGCTATTTTTATTTTCTAGTATGAAGAGGTCAACAATATCTAAACATTTATGAAATATGACTTTACCAAAACAAAAAGTTTAAGAGTGAAACAACTCCTTATAAAAGGAAAAAGTTGCACGTATAAGTTTAGTTGAAACACTAAGGGGTCGTTTAATTTAAAGACAAGTTATGTTGGGATTAATTATGCTGAAATTAATTATACTGAAATAAATTATATTGGGATTATTAGTTATTTTGGTATTATTTCTTATTGGTTGTTTGGTATGTTATATTAATTGTAGGCTTGTCAATTTTAGACTACAAAAAGAATTTCTACATTCCAACTTTCTGAAAATCTATTTCTCATTCTCTTTAGTGAAAGACTGTAAAAGAAATCGAGACAATTTTGTGGAAATTTTCTGTGTATTCATTCTGTACAGAGACAATCTATATATAAGATTATTCTATGAAAGAATAAAAGAATCAAAATAACCACCTATACATGTGTCTAAATCCTATTTGCTAGCTAATAACAAAATATAACTGAAGAATATTCTTTTGCTATGTACATATCCCATGTGACAGATTTTGAAGTTTGGGATCTAGTGTTGTGTAGTTTTAGAATAAGCTATGATGTTCTTCATCTGAATGGTTATTATTTAATCTATCATGTTTTTGCACATCCGTTGAGATGAGGACACATGGAGAGATCAAAAGAGAGAAGTCCAAATGTGTTATTGACCTAGAAGTATCCGAAATGTTATCTTTTGTCTGAAAACCTAGAAGTTTCCTTTCTTCTTCTTCTTTATGAGAGAGACCAGAACCAGCTACCATAGTTGTCATTAGCGATGTCATCTCAACATCCCCCCTCAAGGTGGAGGGTAGAGAAATTACCCCCAGCTTGCCAATACCAGATCTATGTGAAGGACCTGAGAGAGATTTGGTGAATAGATCGGCGAGTTGAGACGAGGATGGAACAAAGGAAAGGGAAATCAGTCCAGAAAGGAACTGTTGCCGAACAAAGTGGCAATCGAGTTCCACATGCTTCGTTTTTTCATGGAAGACAGGGTTTCGAGCAATGTTGATAGCTGTTTTGCTATCAGAGAGGACCGGCACCAGCAAAGATGGTGATACAGAGATATCGGAGAGAAGACGCGTGAGCCAAGTGAGCTCAGCAACAACTCTACGCATGGAGCGATACTCTGCTTCAGCTGATGATAAAGAGACAGAGGCTTGTTTCTTCGATTTCCAAGAAATTGGAGATCCCCCAAGAGTGATGTAGAAGCCGCTTACAGATCTTCGACTATCTGGACAAGAAGCCCAGTCAGCGTCACAAAACGCTAACAAAGAGAGTGAGGGATCGGAATTTAGAAGAATCCCTTGTCCTGGGCTTGATTTCAAGCATCTCAATACTCGAAGGGCAGCTCTGAAGTGAGAAGACCTGGGCTGCTGCATATACTAACTTAATTTCAAGACTGTGAAGGATAAGTCGGGCCTTGTGTGGGTTAGATAGTTCAGCTTCCCCACAAGGTGTCGATAAATGGTGGGATCACTTAGCAAAGGCCTTTCTTCAGCACTCAATTTGACAGAAGGTTCCAGAGGTGAAGAAACACAAGGGAGAGCAGAGACACCAAACTCCTTCAATAAATCCAAGGTGAATTTTCTTTGACACATAATTATGCCCTGTTTTTCTCGAAGTATTTCCATGCCTAGAAAGTAATGTAAGTTTCCCAAGTCCTTGACTTTGAATTCAGTGTTGAGAAAGGACTTAAGATTAGTAATCTCTTCTGCATCATCTCCACTAATGAGTATGTCGTCAACATAAACAGCTACAACTAAGATTAGGCTATTCCTCCTTTTAAAAAATAGGGAGTAATCATTTAGAGATGAGGAGTAGCCTTTATAACTTAAGGCACCTGCAAGACAGGCATACCACTGTCGTGATGCCTGTTTTAACCCATACAATGATTTCTTCAGTAGACACACATGGTTGACAGTAGGTGGAGATAATCCTGCTGGAAACTTCATAAAAACCTCTTCTTGCAAAGTACCATGTAGGAATGCATTATTGACGTCCATTTGATGAATAAGCCAGTCTTTCTTGACTGCAATGGCTAATAAGCATCGTATCGTGGTCATTTTTACCATAGGGGAGAATGTCTCAGTGTAGTCTATGCCTTCTCGTTGGATGTCCCCCCTGACTACTAGTCGTGCTTTAAGCCTTTCAACAGACCCATTTGAATTATGTTTGACATTGTATACCCATTTACAAGGTAAAGCTTTCTTTCCCTTTGGTAAGATAACTACATCCCAAGTGTGATTAGCTTTCAAAGCATCAATCTCTGATTGCATTGCTTGCTGCCACCCAGGATGCTTAGAGGCTTCAGAAAAGCTACTAGGTTCTGAGATAGCTAATATAGACTGCATTACATGCTAATTATGACTAGAGAGGGCTCCAAAAGAAAAAATATTAGGCTGGGAAGGGTGAACAAAACATGAGGTGGTCAGGTCTGTGAGGTAGATGTTGTTACAAATGAAATCCTCTAGATGACTAGGCCATGTAGTGACTCTGGTGGATTTTCTCACTGCTGGTGTAGGTGTGGGATGCTCCTCATAGCTAATAGAATCAAAGGGATAGGAAGACTGAGGAGATTGAAGAGTAGTGTTGATTGGTGAGTGAGTTCTAGAAGGACTGGGTGCTTGAGAAATGTTAGGTTCAGGTAAAGAAGAGTTTGGGGAAGGTTTAGGTAAGGTTGTTTCTACTGGTGTGGGAGTAAGGAAGATAAGATCTGGAGACAAGGTGTTTGAGGCAAAAGGGTATTTGGTTNGAGGCAAAAGGGAATTTGGTTTCATGAAAGTGAACATCCCTGGATACAACAACTCTCTTTGTGTCTAATTCTAGCACTTTATATCCCTTTTGACCCATAGGATATCCCAAGAAAACACATGCCTTAGCCCTAGGCTCAAGTTTGTTCCTTCCACCAGATAGGGTAGATGCAAAACAAAGACATCCAAAATTCCTAAGCATTTCATAAGAAGGTGATTGGTTAAACAATACAGAAAAAGGTGTCTTGCCATGAAGTACCTTAGAGGGCAGCCTGTTGATCAAATATGTGGCTGTCAACAAGCATTCTCCCCAGTATGGTATAGGCACCTTGGATTGAAACAACAAAGCCCTTGCCATTTCTAGAAGGTGCTTATGCTTCCTTTCAACAATCCCATTCTGTTGAGGTGTGGCTACACAAGATGTTTGATGCAAAATCCCTTGAGAACTAAGGAAGGCAGCCTGTTGAGAGCCTTTACCTAGTTCAAATGCATTGTCTGTCCTTAGTTTCTGGACCTTCATCCTAAATTGCCTTTCAACCATAATGAGAAAATCCTTCAAAACTGAAAAAGCATTAGACTTTGTGCTTAATAAAAAGGTCCAAGTTCCTCTGCTAAAGTCATCCACAATAGTCAAGAAGTACTTAAAGCCATTGTAAGTGGATTCCTTATAGGGTCCCCATGTATCAACATGAATTAATTCAAATGCTCTTTTGGAAGTAATTTGACTCAAAGGAAAAGGAATCCTAGTTTGCCTAGCTTGGGGACAAATATCACAGAAACATTCAGAATTAGGAAAACTTGAAATAAAACTGAGATGTTTCATTGATGAAAAAGGCAAATGCCCCAATCTAATGTGCCAAAGGTTTACATCAGAAGCTGCATTTGCAGAAAAAGGAAAAACAACTGAAACTGGACTAAGAACACTTTGATTTGAAGATAAAAAACTTTTCTCCTTTGAGCTAAACCTATCAATACTAGGTTGCAACAGATACAATCCTTCCTTTTCTTCACCAAAAACTTGAGCCCTCTTCACTAAAGGGGCCTGCAAGAGACACATATTATGAGTAAATAAGACTAAGTAGTGAAATTGAACACAAAACCTATTGACTGATAATAGATTATATTTGAAACTGGGAACATGAAGAACATTTTCTAAAATGAATTCAGCAGAGATAGGAATTTTTCCAGTATGTGTGACTGTCACCTTAAAAGAATTAGGCAGATTTATATGTACAGGAACTGGAAGGGGTTTTAAAGAAATGAAAGCATTTGAATTAAAACACATATGTTCTGAAGCTCCTGAATCAATTATCCAAGTGTTAGTGTTAAAAACTGCAAAACAACTTCCAGTGTATTTCATAATAGTACTAGCTACTGCATTTGTGTTGATTTCTGAATTGAAACTCCCTGCATCTGGAACTTTTACTTGCTTTATTATCTGGACTAATTGTGAAAATTGATCATTGGAAAGGTGCTAATTTAGAACTTCAGAATAGTTGCTTGCATCCTCTCCTTGATCCCCTGTTACAGCTCCATTGCTTCTGAATTGAACTTGAGAACCTCTAGGATTGGTGAATTCAAAATCTTCAGGAAAACCAATGATTCTATAGCAATCTCCCACTGAATGTCCTATTTTCTTGCAATGGGTGCAAGATAAGTTAGGATTGAACTTGTGCTTCTTTCCTTTTGCAACAAATTTTCTTTGTGGAGTGTTCACATTTTTTTGCATATTACTTCCTGATCTTTGGAATTGCATGTTGTTCCCTGATTTCTGAGATTGCTGCTGAAATTGCCCAGTGTTTCTTTGGCCTTGTTTGTTGTTCCTTTGCACAAAATTTCCTTATGCTGCAAGGTTAGCTTGAGTGCCCACCATGAAGGATGAAGAATCAGCAAAGAGAAGGGGATTCATATAGATATCTCTCTGACTCTCATCCTGCAATACCAGAGAATAAGCAAGATCTAAGCTAGGTAAAGGGTTCATCATCAAAATGTTTCCCCTTGCCTGTCCATAGACATCATTTAGACCCATAAGAAATTGTATAAGTCTTTCATCTTCTGGGGATTTTTCCAGTTTCTGTTTTCCAGAACACACACAAGCACAAACACACTTAACATCACAGATTAAAGAGTCTAATTCATCCCATAGACGTTTGAGCTTTGTTAAGTACCCTGCTATATCACTTATTCCTTGTACTAAACTGGATAGTTCTTTGCGCAGGTGATACAACTTAGCTCCATTTGACCTTCCAAATCTGTGCTCAAGACTGGTCCAAAGCTCTTTAGCAGATTTGGAATATATGACACTATCTCCAATGTCTTTGGATAGTGAGTTTAGTAACCAGGAACTCACCATGTCATTGCATCTTGTCCATGGTTGATACTCATTGGAAGTGATAGCAGGAGCAGGGCATGTTCCATTAATGAACCCCAACTTGTTCTTTGCTGAAAGAGCAATCAGAACTGATCTCCTCCAGCCTTGAAAGCCTCTTCCATCAAATAATGCATTCACAAGACTCATACCTGGTTCATCTGATGAGTGGAGAAAGTATGGGTTATTTGGATCAAAATTGACTGCATTAGCAGAGGAAGACTGAGCAACAATGGTGTCTGTTGTTCCAGTCATGGTGAAGGGTTATGACGCGGAAAAGTGAGGAGAAAGAAGTTGATTTTTCCCAAAAAGAGCTACTGCTCTGATACCATGAAAGACTGTAAAAGAAATCGAGACAATTTTGTGGAAATTTTCTGTGTATTCATTCTGTACAGAGACAATCTATATATAAGATTATTCTACGAAAGAATAAAAGAATCAAAATAACCATCTATACATGTGTCTAAATCATATTTTCTAGCTAATAACAAAATATAACGAAGAATATTCTTTTGCTATGTACATATCCCATGTGACAGATTTTGAAGTTTGGGATCTAGTGTTGTGTAGTTGTAGAATAAGCTATGGTGTTCTTCATCTGAATGGTTATTATTTAATCTATCATGTTTTTGCACATCCGTTGAGATGAGGACACGTGGAGAGATCAAAAGAGAGAAGTCCAAATGTGTTATTGACCTAGAAGTATCCGAAATGTTATCTTTTGTCTGAAAACCTAGAAGTTTCCTTTCTTCTTCTTCTTTATGAGAGAGACCAGAACCAGCTACCATAGCTGCCATTAGCGATGTCATCTCAACATTCTAAATATGTAAATTTATTTTTAACAAATTTAAATCGAAAATTAATCAATCGACCTACGCATCCCGGAACAGGTCACATAAAATAAAACGAAGGGAGTAAACACGTGACTTTCCAAATCAAGCTTAATATGTAGCTGAGGAAATAGAATAATGACTTGCTATAACCGGTTCAATTAGACTGATAATGTACAAGTTATTTACGCTTAAAGCATATACTATTACTTAAAACTCTAGACATAATACCAACAATTGCAGGACGCATAAACATTTAGGGATCGTTTGGTATGATATTACCTTATCCCCCCCCCCCC